CTGTCCTGAGCTTGTGCAGGAGCCTTCGGCTTTGTTTCGGCATTGTGTAGGGCTCGTTTCGCTTCGTTCGCATCGCCAATGTTCGATCGCTGACTGGCAGTGTCCTTCTTGCGCATACCACCGCGGACAGCGGAACGTCGGTTTCAAGACTTGCCGTCGGAGTTGCAGATGTCTTTTGAGGCTGAGGCTCCGGAGGCTCCGGAGGCCGAGGCCGTGAAGAGCGGGGCGCGCTGACGGCTCGCACGGCTCGCTTTTGTCCTCCGCAGGCGCCAGAGACGCCCGGTCCCGGAGAAGCTGGGCCCGGGCCTCGGCGGCGGAGGCCTCTGCAAAAACCGCAACCGCGCCCACCGCGCCCGCCGCTTTCGCAGTCGGAGAGAGGTCTTTTGAGGCCGAGCGCCCGTCGGCTGAGCTCAGCGCAGCGCTGAGCAAGGACTCGTAACTTCACACGACAGTCTATCTTTCCTGCGCGGTCCAATCGGATTCCTGGAGCATCGTCGAGGATGTTGAGACCCTTCGGGAAAATTGGAGTAACTGGTTTTCCGTTACGCAAACGGTACTCCGAAATCCAGCCCCTCTTCGAGGCGACCGAGTATCCTTCTCAACCAGAAAGATCAAATCTCTGGACCCAATTCCGCTAACTCCGAATCACTGGCCCAGCGTATGGAATAACCGTCCCGCAAGAACACAGTTGTTGTGTAGCTACCCACGCCGCAAATCAATCGGTTTGGTGGATCGCTACTCTTTCTCATTGCATGTGCCCGCGACTTTGAAGCAATCGCGCGCAACACAATTCGCCGATGACCGTATCCCATGCTTTACGGTTGTAGAAACTTCTCTTCAATCCAAGCCACAGACCAGCCGTCTTTATATGTCTTTATGGCCGCACAACGGATCAACATGCATGTTTGCACCTGAGTTGACGCCTCGGCGAGGGGTGTGCAATTTTGCACGTGTAATTGGATTGGTTCCTTTTGTGCATTGGACCGTGGCAGCCGTGGCACTAGTGCTCTAGTAGGGAAAAGGATAGCTTTCTGCCATGGCCTACTAGCACTTAAGGGTATATACTCTGACAGCTTGCGCACGCGCATGCACAGCGGAAAGCAGTGCAATGCATCCAACGAGTCGAGTCACTCACACAAGATAAAGCCAAGCAGGCTCACGCGGTATGCTGTACGACCGCGCCACATCTCTAGCAGCTGTGATCGGCTTGCCGTTCATGAAAGTGCGCAACCAACCCCAAACACAGCCCTCCATAACCCGGTTGAAGCCTATCGAAACCCCAGGCATCAGCCGATACACGAAACTATGGGAAAGATCAACTGTACAGTACTGGATATCGGATTCCGACAATGAAAGGATGCCTTTGATGACATCGCCAAAAACTCTAACATCGCTAGCCAGAGTAGTGAAACAAAACTTTGCTCCTCCAGCGTCACATGAAGCCCACTGTCCCGGCTCAATCTGTACTGGAGCTGAGATACCAAAGGCCCCTTTGAAACACGTGAACAGCTCAAGGAATGAGGTCTTGGCACAATGATCGTTCAGATCAAGACGCTCCACAAATTCGAACACTTTCTCAACGAAGGCTGTCCGCGATTTTGGCTGGAAGTGGCCATGCCCTGCCACCCCACGCATCTTCAGGTCGTAAGCTACCTTCCTGAGCCTCCTCTCGTCTGGAGGTACTTAAGGGTATATACAATCTGCGATTGTGTGCAAATGCATTCTCTCCGATCTATAATGGAGTTACACCGAAGCGAGGTCGGGCGTGCATAATGAGATCTGCAACCGAGCACCCGAGTCTGGGTGAGTTGCATCGACAGCAAGCGGCAAGCGTGATAATCTTTTAGCAAAAGGCGGCCGAGAGGAACCCAAACCGCTCCGGAGTGCAAGCGACAACAAATCCGATCGGCAGCGAAGTGTCCCACAGTCAAATTACGGTCTTTTGTGTCGTGCTTCTAAGGTGAGACCCTCTCTGAGGTTCCCAAAATGGACAAGCTTCAGCGACCGTCTCAGAGTTCTCGTCGCAGTATCGCACTGAAGCAAGCGAGGAGCCACGAAGTGTCCTGGGCTGGGGGCCGAGGTCACAAATTTGAGCGACCTGCCGCACTGTGGCAGCCGCGGGGACTTTAAGGGAGTGGGCAGATCGTGCAGCTTTTGACAGTTGTGCGATTGCTGTGGCTGCTCCGCTTGTACCTTTATGGTGTGCTCGTGATGGCCATGATCGGCCTCGGACGGGACGAAGTGCTTCGGGGAAAGACCGGTTCACGTATCATGGCAACGTACTGCATTCGCTCTTCCTCCTTGCCTTCCATGCATTGTTGCAGCATGAGCCGGCCCAAACATGAAGCGTAAGAAGGGACCAGAGAAGGGCCCCGGGAATCAGGAAAGGGAGAAGCAAGCCGACACCTTTCAGGTAGACTTCGAGTTCTACGATCCCGAGGAATCAGACTTCCATAGTGTGCGTGAGCTGCTGTGCACAGGCGTCTTGCGTTCTGCAGACTTGGACTTCTCTGGGCTAGCGGACAGCATCGTGGAACAGGTGAACATTGGGACTACGGTTAAGTCCGGAGGAGAGGAAGAAGGGAGCGAAAAGAGCGAGAACGAGGGGGCAGGCGAGGACGAGGACGAGGATGCTGCTCTCTGTGGCTTCTTGACCTGCCTGAACCTGCACCAGTTCTCGGAGAAAGACTGGCGCAAGGGCTTGGTGTCCCTTTTGGAAACCAAAGCTCAGAGTGCTGGGATTGGGGTGTCGGAGAAGCTGAAGAAGTTTGTGAGCGCAGACACGCAGCCAGGCTTACTGGTCTCGGAGCGCTTCGTGAACCTGCCTCTGGAACTTGTCCCGATGCTGCATAAAGCAGTGCTGGAAGACATCCGCTGGTCTCAAAGCACCGAGCATTGCCCGAGTGAGGCCCGGGCCCGTGTCCTGCAACGCCGCCTTTTCCACATTCTGTTCTCGAGGAGCGGCCCTTCTACTTCTTCACTCATTTCCTCCTCCTGGCACGATGTCACGCTGCTGAAACAGGTGGAAGATAAGAAAGCTGTGAAGCCTGTGAATCTCGTCCGTGCCGCGAGGCAGCCCTGTAGATGGCCGTACTGTTGCCTTTGCCCGGCCAGAGGACCTCAGTTTGAACTCTGCCCGAGCTGTCCTTTGGTGGACATGTGCAGGACGAAGCCTTCGCCCGGACAGCTTCCCTTGCCTTCAGCTTCCCGCTGGGAAAGGGGCAAAAAGCCGGCGGGGACGGCCGGGGGGGCCGGGGCCCCAAGAAGTCCGGGCCCAAGCCCCTGCAACAAAAATGTGGCAGCTCCACAGGAAAAGGTTCTCTTTCGCTGAGCTGAGGAGGCGGCGCCCTGCACAGGGCAGCGGCGTGGACGCTGCGGCCCCTTCGGAGCGCGTGGCCGTGCTCGGCTTCACCCGAGCGGCCTACGAAAAGGCGGTGGCTGGGCTCCGAAAGGCTTTGGAAAGCGGCAAAGGCTAAGGCCGGCTGCCGGTGCATTTTGCATTCCATGCTCACTGCGTTGTGCTTTGAACCGTTTCGACCAGGTGTGAGATATCTGCGTGGTTTCACCGAGAGTCTTTCTGCTCGTCGAACATTGCCGAAGCGAGGAAAATTGTCGAAGAGAGAAAGCTCTACCCGTGTTTGTAACTGACGCTATGCAAGCATGTGAGCATTCGGTTCGCAGTCTTGTCGGTTGCGGAGCTGACAGCACATCCCAGTGAGGCGAAGTGTTTCTCAAGCTTCTGCGCATGCAGTCATGTAGTTCTTGTCGAGACGCCAGCGTAGCCTGGCACTTTGTCCCTGTTGTCGCGCACGAGCTGAAAACACATTTGCAGCACTAAGGCTGATGCCAAACACCACCTACTGCCGGCAGCTCTTCTTTCTGCCCACATATCCCGAGGGACGCTAAAGAAGCGTTTGTTCTGAGGCAAAGAATGGGTCACCACCGAAGAGGCCACATAAGCTTTGAGTGTTTCTTTCAGTCCCAATTCACAGCTCGGTCTCAGGCGTTACCGCTGCCTTCACAGCCGTTTCTCACAGCATACATGAGCGTTGGGTTCCGAGGTTTTTTAGGAGAGACCGACAAAGAGAATTTCGCAAGCTACTGTGGTGTCTCTGCGATGCGATGGGCCCGAGTCTCTCGAGGTGCTTGCTCTGGCAGCACTGGTCTTTGGCATCACGATCCGTAGCCTACGGCCTCAGGCGCACCAGGGCCAGAACTCTTTGCGCGAACTCCGCTCCTCGCGCGGACGTTCGCTATGCGTTCGCAGGCCGTGCGGCGCCTTCTGGCCGATGCTGGAGTGGCGATGCACAAGGCGATTTGGTCGAAAAAGTCGCTGTCAGCAGCTTGGGCCCTGGAGGTGAAAAAGACTGCAACGGAGATCGAGCGCGTGGGACCCGGCTTAAAGCGTTGCTTTGAGCCCTGGAGCCTTGGCTGGCCTGGGCCAGTGTGCCGAGGCAAGATCTTCCACCTCTGCGGTTTGCTGGTCGCCGCGCCAGAGGGGCCGCTGAGCCGCGCCCTTTCCCCCTTGCCATGCCCGGCGTTTCTTTGAGGTTCCCCTGGCCTACCAGCTCTTGCTCACTCACGGCGTGTCCAGAAGCCGGGGGCGCCTGACTAGAAGTGCGTCAGTGCCACAAACCCGACGGGCCGACAACCTAACTAGGTTTCTGCGTGCAGCTCTGCTGGCTGATCACGGTGCTCGGGGTCAGCCGGGAGCCCGGCTGTTGGAGATCGCCTGGCCTTGCCTTTCTGGTCTCGGTTTGCCCAATGTGGTCACACCCTATTGGGTCTCGTCATGTAAGGAGCGATCGATTCTGGGGTCCTCTGAAAACGCTCGAGATGCCTCAAATGTCAGTGCTGCATTCCGTCCTGATGGTCCCTTGGTGGCTAGTGACTGCTAGTGGCGGGGTTTTGGTGTGCATTCCAGATGCGCTATTCGAGCACCAGAAGCGCGCGATTCGAGCACGAAACGGGGATTCACTCACCTGGCGATCCCGGTTAAATCACATACCCTCATTCGGCGATTCCGTTGATGATCACCGTTCATCACAGTATTTCCTATCTGCGCCCCTCAATGGGCGACTCCGATTCATCACATTTCTTAACCGCGCCCCCTGCTTTGGCGATCCCAGTTCATCGCATTTCTTAAATGCGCACACTCCTTTGGCGATTTCGGCGAGCACACTTCTTGAGCGCGCCCCCCTCATTAAGCGATCCCGGGGGATCACGTATCTTAAACCCACACTCTCCGATGGGGGATTCCCATCGCAAACCCGAAGCCAGGTTAACCGGTTAACCGCGGACGAACCGGCAGTTCGCAACTTCGGTGCGCGCACAAATCCGCGGCTACTCCGCTGTGGGGGGGCAGCAGTGCAGGCGATTCTCGATGCATCCGGTTCGGCCTCGCCGGTGCTCCGGCGCAGTGCTGCGCGAATCGGCCGTACCCAGTGGTCTTGGTGCTCCTGGCGCACCAGGCTTGTCCCATCTGGGGGCCCAGGTTTGAACCTGCACGCTCGAAAATAATGCGGATGAATGGGTGTCAGCAAGCAGAAGCTTGAGAGCACATCAGTTGGCATTTGCTGACCTTGGCGGCAGTACGATTTGTTACAGCCAAACGTGGTCCAGAAAGACCCACCAAGACTCGGCAGTACGATTTGTTACGGCCCCAGAAGACTTGCAAAGAGCGAGTCGCTCAAGAGGGACGGCATCTTGTGAGCTGTTGTTTGTTCAGAAGCATGAGCCAACTTTGTGGTCCAGGAAAACCAGCAGGAAGAAAGCAAGTTCGCGCATTCTTCCGATTAGCAGCAGGTGCGGACTGGCTGCGCGTACACGTCCCCTTCGTCCGGGATAATTGGCCCCTGAAGTCCATCCTTCGAGAGAAGGAGGCGGACCGGCTCTGTGGAGGGAGCCGCTTAGCCGGAACTCTCCAAAGGCGCAGCGAAAGGGCGGTTTTTGTCGTGGTGACCGAGGCTATTTCTCCCTGGGTTGCACGCTGGCCATCCAGATGTTTGCGCCCGTGTGTCTCTCTTAGCGCCAGATTTCAAGAGCAGCAAGGCCAAGGAGCCCAGCAAGACACTGGCAGGGCGCAGCAGCAGTGCAGCTGAGGATAGCAATGACGTCCATTCTCTTTCTCGTAATGGGAGACATGGCAGCAGCCCTCATCGGCCGATCCTTTGGCCAGAGCATCTGCAGTCCCTCGACAGAAGACCCACGGCGAACAGCCATAGCCAAAAGCGAGCACTGAAGGCATAGGCATTGGGCCTGGCGGCAAAAAATCCGTGGAAGGGAGCACGGCTATGCGACTCGAGCTGCACTTACCCTGTGTTCGCCCATGTTTCGAAGCACTTGGAACATGAGGTTCATGACCTGCTTCGTGTCTTGGCTTCAAGTTTTGTTTGCGAGTTCGTCCAAGTCGAGGTGACAGAGGGATTCTTGCAGGGTTGTAGGGATGGGCCAGTGAGAATGCCATGGCATAGGGCCGACGTGGGGTGGCAAGAGGCAGCGAACCACGAGATGAGGCTAAGCCGGCTAAGCAAGACAACGATGGAAATGTACTGTTGCATGTCAATGTCATCTCAAGGTCAAAGCGATGTTGTAGGTTGTCGCAAATGGTGTCGGAAGACTAAGATAAATGTGAATTTTCGGGTGCCATGTCAGACTACAGCACATGGTGGAGAACATCGAGGGTTTCAAGATCCTGACCTGTTGTAGCCGCTTGTTTGATGCAGCTCAGCTGCGTTTTGGCTCCATGTTCCTGGACTGGAAAAAGCTTTGCGACCGTCGGCGCCGCCGGGACATGTGCGTGCTTCAAGGTGTTGCTTCAGCTCAGTGCGTTCACTCGCAGGCTACCTTGGCTACGTCTCAACCTCTGCCAGGGTTTTTTTGCTCTTGACCTTCAGGAACGACAACTACCGCTTTGGGGGCATCGTGACCAATCACGATGACGATGATGACGCTTTGGGAAAAGTGGATGAATCTGAGAGTTCGGCTGAGCCTTACCAGATGTTATTGCTGGCTTTCACAACGTCCCGGATTTCAGGTCGCACAAACTGCAGAGAGTTACAAGGCGTTCGCACACGGCTCAAACGGTTGCGAAGAGACAACATCGACAACTCCCCTAACACGGCATCAACAGCAAGGGCTGCTCCACAGGCTTCTCCAGGGCCTCCGCGAACATGTTGGGGGGTATCCATCCAGCGCAACGCTGTGTTAGGACGTTTTGACTTTAGCATCGCCAGCCAGCGTCGGCACCAAGCTCTTCTGGGTGCCGTACCCGGTCTTCTTCGTGACGCGGTCGTCGGTGTCCTTCGCATCAGTCACTAGCAGTAGCAGCACGGCGCTACGCAGACGACGAGGTTACTGCCCGGCTTCAGCAAAATCCAAGGCCTCGAACCTCAACAAACAATCCATGACTCTACAGGATAAGCGTTCTGCTGGCTACTGATGCTACGTCGTTTCGTAGCCTTCTGCCGAAACTGAAGCCAGAAGATTTCCCGTACAGAATTTCGGTGGGAGTCGTCGAACACGGGCAGATTGCAAGCAATGTGGCATGTTCTCGATCAGAACGAGAAAAGAAGATGTCGCATTTGACGACCTTTGAAGGGATGCGCCAAGAAGCTTGTTAGTTGTATAGGTCCACCACTCACACAAGAAACGGCAGTGTCAAGGTTGATATGTGCGACCCCGGCTCCTGAGCCTCCTTTGGGTGTTGGTTCGTTTGCTTTCGCACTCGGTGCTTGCTTCTGCCCCTTACGGTTTTGGACGTGGGACGCCCTCAGTGCTCCCCTGTGACCAAGGTGTGGTGACGATTGAGGCGTTAAGAAGCAAGGTTTGCCCCCCAAACTGGGGTCAAAACCACGGAAGAAACCGAACGACCTGCATGCATGCTGGAAGGGGCTTGCCTCTGTGGTTTCCCTGCTCAGGTCTTCGGATGCACGCTTTTCAGCCCCGTGCACTTACGGGAATATGCCGTGGCGATTGGCTCGCTGGTGGCCACTCTCACTGAGCTTTACGAGCCTTTGGGGATCAACGACAACGCCAGCTCCTGAGGGCCGAGCTTTGAAAGGGTTTTAGCAATCTGCTGTTTTCATCTTCAGCTGCCTGTTTCTTCAAAAGGTGACCATTCCACTTCTAAGAGTCTTGGCGCCAATCAGAGTTGTGACGAGGGGAGAAAATAGTCTTTGCAGCTTAGTGGTAAGTGCTGATTGCTGTGAGGTGGGGTAGCGCTGACCTTCGGTTTCGCACGGACATACTCCTGCGAGCCAGCGCGAAGCCCTTTGCTGTGGTATTTGTAACATGTCCAGCGGCTGCTGCACCCGCGGCCTCGTGGTAAGAGTTGACCGCAGCAAGAGTTGACAGCATTTGGATCTGCGATTTGTGAGGAGACTAATTCAGGATCCTCGGATGTTCGCAGTTCTTTTCCTTGATCTGCCGCGAGAGGTGAGCACGATCACTCGGGGCACGCAGTCCATTCAAGCTTCCGCCTTCCACGCAAAAGCCCCCAGCACATGTTGTGTAATCTGGGTGCTCCGTTCCTACCCCGCCGTTCCTCACAATGTCTAATTCATCACTGCAGCAGATGGAGACTTTCGAGATGCACACGTGTCACCACCAAAAGACTTGGCACCCCACCAGTTTTAGGGTTGAATTTCGCTGCTCCTCCAGCCAGTGACGGATCCTGCAGCCATCTCGAAGCGCTCAGTGCAGTTCTCGGAATGGGAGAAGGGGCGCGCCTTTCGATTTCCGAGTTTTGGCAGCAAGTGGCGGCGAAATAGTGGACCAGTCTCGCAGCGCACAGTGCCAGGCTAGATCGTTTCCCAGAGTGCTTCCACCGTGCTGACCTGAGACTTTGCTGGGCTTTGCTCGTGTTGGGCTCGGACTTGGACAGGTTGCCTGAGGAGCCGAAGTCCTGGGCCGAGGTCTCCAGCCCCTACCTGGTCCTACCTTCAGTCCTACCTTCCATGTGACAATGTCCTTGCCTTGCGCAAGGCACAGCGGGAGCGAGGCTTGCGGCGTGATGGCCGGGCAGGAACGGATCCAGCCACGGTGCTTCACGAAGACAGATGCACATAAACATGCGCGAGCAGCGAAGCACGCACGCGCACATGCATGACCGCACATGGCATCAGAATAGTTGCAAGGCTGTGGTCGATGTGGAAAACTCTCGGAAACGACTTGCACGGCCAGGCGTGGAAGGCGAAGATGCGGAGAACCAGCCACCGTACCGTGGCAGAATGGTCGGTGGAGCCTCAAAGTCAGCGAACGCCGATCAGTTCGCAATTCCGTCTGTTGTTCGAGGCGGATGAATGTCGGGGAGAGTGCCATCGAGAAGGCACCTCAACTCCGGCAACGTGTCGTCCCGCAGTGTGACGCGACCGAAGGCTTTGGAGGATGTGCAGACGGCTTTGAAGGCCCCTGTCCCATTCAGCAGTGGCTTGGACTCCTGGCGTGCCTTTTGTCCGGAGCTCCTGCAGGCCACGGAGAGCTTGCGCCTTGGCGGACTCCGCACACACCGCGGACTCCGTGGAGCTGTGAGCCACCGACCGCTTCTTACGGACCGGAGTGGCAGTGAGACATGCTGCCACGACGCGGGGGGCTCGGGCTCAGGAGACAGCTCGCCCTCCGCCCACTCTCTTGCGCAGCTTTGTTTGGCAGGACGGAGCAGAGCCTCAGGATGCAAGAAGCTGGCTACGCCAGCCTAAGTTTGTTAGCCGCGACCGCGACCCAGGCCGCGGGTTCATGCCACATGCCGCGCGCTCCACGTTGAGTTGCAGGAAGGCGCCGAGCCAGCACCGGCTCTGTGCCGCAGGTCGATGCCTTTGGGCTTTCGAAGGGACGTCTGTCCTTTTAAGCTGTCTCAGGTTCTTGGCACCACGCATGGTGCGCCTGGGCTGTTAACCGCTCTCAGTTGAGAGGCCAAGTCGGCGGGTTGGCGTGCCTGGCATGCGTCTGCTGAGGCCTCGGAGGCCTTGGCGCGGGCGCGGCGGTTGCAGAAGGAGACGGGGAGTGGAGCCATGGACGAAGGGGAGCGGCGAGCCTTCTAGGAGCGCGTGCGGGCAGAAGAGCGGTCCCGGCGCTTCTCGCTGAGCATCTCGGACCGGCTGCGATCTGCTGCACCCTCAGAGCCGCCGGCGATTTCTCCTCGGCCATATATGATGCAGGGCTGCCACACCCCCCCTGCCCCGCCCACCCCATGGTATCCCCCCCCGTGAGATGTAACTTGGGCGTGTGAACCCTCGCAAAGCGTACAGGCACA